TCTCTCTCTCTCTCTCTCTCTCTCTCTCTCTCTCTCTCTCTCTCACTCACGATCGTCCGTTTTCTTCCTCTCTCATCCGATTCTTCCTGTCCTACGCATTACTCCCTCTCTTCCTTTGTCGTAGTTATCTTCATTGTCACATTTGACAAGAAAAGGTTAACTCCTTGGTCACCGTTATTATGCGCGGCAACAGTTAGCGGCAACAGCTAGCGACAACGACAGCGTAGCTTCGTCTCGCTTCTCGTGAGATATCTCGTTGCGATCGGTCGCACCAAGAGATACTACTTAACTAGGTATTTAAACGGTGTTACGATGTTAGGCAGATTTGACGTGAACGTAAGCGACTCTATGTACCCATCTTCGCGTTTTATCACACCAACATCGCCGACTTGACATTTCGAGATGCAAAACATCAAAGGAACATTTGTGTTAACTTTTATCGCGTAAAATCAACGTCAAATACGCCAATGTTGTCGAAAATCGATGAGCTTGGGTCATCTCGCGCGAGATCTCGATATTTTTTCGTAAAATTTCATTATTTTCGGTTTATTTGGTACCAACAAGATAAAAAAAAACATATTATTTAGAGAGTTCCTTTGTAGTGTCATAAATGTAGATCGTTTCATAGAATCGTTTCCGTACGCTTGCAGCGTCGAAATTATACCGATTCCAATAATTTAAATCCCAATTGCGTCGATCATAATTGCACGGAAAAGCTATTGATTGTCGTGTATGCGGAATTAAAGCTAATGTTAAACGACTCTCTAAATCGACAGATCCTTACGTGACCGTTTCTCGAAACAATGTTAAATTACAATACAGAATATTATCAGTCAGAAGTAGAAAGAAATAAGTATCATAGAGCTACGCACAGACTCTCGCGACTCTGATTACACAAATAAGAAAGTACATATGATAACGACCTATAAATATCTTTAAATATGTTTGATATCAAACATTGCGGTAAAATATCGTACGATCATCTCTCTTTTAACAATTACATCGGACACGTCCTTCGCATGTTTACTTTCTATTTTATTTCATCCGTAATTGACCGATGACTTTTTTCGCTACACAGCAATTTAATGAATATATAAAGAAGCGTTATTAATTCCAGAAAATTACTCGATATCTAAATAAACTTTTCTCTTCAGCAGCTTATCGGCACGCAAAATGCACAAACAGACGTGAGCAATTGTAGGAGAGATCGGTATGCGAGATGTCACATTTTTCAAAAATTCAAAGTTACAACTTCTCGAACAACAAATTGTTGTACAAATGACTGTACAAATATGATACAGACAATTTTTCTCTGTGTTTCTATGTCCGCAAGAATTCTGTATTGCTTATTCTGTAGTAATCAAAGTACAAACATACGCTACAACCCATCTTGCTTTGATACCGAGTCGTCAAGTTAGTTAGCAATTCAAGATAAGAAAAAAAAGCGGCCGCATATAAAATATGTATTCCGATTAATAGTTTCAGAGTTTCCGTGAAAAGTCTTCCTCTACGATCTGTTGCTGGCCCTTAAATGCGGGCCAACTTTACCGTCCGTCCATATACTCGATATGCACCATTTTATGAATGAAAACAGTTTTTACTATCCGAAATCATAGAAGGAGAAGGGCGTATTAGATAGCGGCGGAACGCCGTGCAGGTCTTTCGGGACCTGCGTCTTTTTTGTTCCAGAGAGAGAAAATATCGAGAGCGCGGTTTGCTAGGTCGGGACTCGAATCCGGGTCTTTCGTTTGCCGGACAACTGCTCTAAACTGTGCTATCTGACGCTCACGATACTCTCCTCTCCCTAGATAACGTTCAGAGATACCGTTCAGAAGCGTCCCGAGCGCATGGCGACTACAGAGAGAAACAATGTTACTGTACCAGGTGGTCAGTCTCTCAAAGTCAAAGGTTGTTATCCTTTAAGACCTGTTGTCCATGATGCCCATCGAACAGTGTATCACACACACACACACACACACCACACACACACACACACACTTGCAGGCTACTTCATTTTAAGTAATGACACATCACACTGTTCCTCTCACCTATAAATACATAAGCAAAGCACACAATGGCCAACATGAGCCAATTAGACCCGGCGATCTCTTCTACTTGGAAGAAGAAAATTCGCAAGATGTCGAATAAATGTTTATTACTTTATTTCAACAACATAAATGTTAATTGTTAATTACGGGCTAAAGCAGGCTAAAGGAGTAGAATATCGCGCAATGAAAAACGGAAGATGTGAGTAATGTGATACTCGCGCGCGGTGCGAGTGAAAGACGACAGTGTTGTTGCAACATACGATTGAGGGGTAAGATGAATGAATAAGCGACCGGGAAAATACCGCGTGATTTCCCGTAATACTTAGATCTGGAAAATCGTATTTATATACGTTTTATACGCAAAATCGTTGAAATGTCGCTAATTCAAAATCATACATACAAGCTGTTAAAATTAAAGTTTTAAAACTTTGTACGGTTTGAGCTGGTATCTACAAGATAAAACTAATGAGAATAATTTTCAATCTATAAGAACCACAGTGGGATAAGAACATTCGTACGAATCAAAGAACTGTTCGCGTGCATCAGACACAATTTTCCCAAACGAGATGGAAATCTCTCCGAAGAACACCTTTTATCGGGCATACGTGAGCTAGGAGACATGGCGGAAGATAATTAAGAAGCCGCGATTGAACATTCAGTTTTGCGTAGTCCGGAGCAGAATGTCGTGTCACGAGTCTCGTGCCACTACATTCATACAACGTAAATAATCGTTATTAAAACGTAACCTTCGAAGGTTGCGCCAGACGATGGAACGAAAATTACTGCGTCCGCAACGGTAGATTCGCGCAAGAAAGATTCTACCAATTAACGCCGCTCGAACTTTCGTGTACTACAAGAAGTATTTATTTAAGTTGTACTCGCGTGCTACCAATCGACGCGCGATGACGCGATGAACAATCTTTACATCCCTCAAAAACAGTAACACTCTATAAAATGATAATTAATTCTTTGTATTGTGTTCGATAGAGACTTGCACAAAGCAAATCTTCGAAAATTAAAGAAAATAACTTGTCCAACCATATGCGAGCGCATGAGCGAGTAAGCGAGCGAAATCCTGTTTTTGATGGTTTCATCACAGTTGATACATTTTCAGTCTTGAAACTCAATTTCCAAGAAGTCATTCGTTCTCGATCGTTCACACAAAAGCCCATTGACAGCGTTCTCGTTAAGCGAGAATTGAGACTTCCAAATTGTTGGAAGAATCCGTCCTTATTTTTTTATTCGACGCAGTGATAATGGAACGGTTACTTGTGTACCGTTCAATTTAGCTAGAACAATGCCAACCCATGACGGATAATTTTAACGGAAGTCATGTGCGGTTGCAGAGTTCCGTTTGCATTACTCGATTCTGTATCCGGCAGCAGCGAGCTGCTCTCACAAGCTTCTCCGTTTTGCTTTTTGGGCCTTTTTCCTCGGTAAAAACCACCGCGTCGCCGCGCCGTACCACCCCGTTGATCTGATGTCCGATGAAACGATTAAGTGAACCGGAATATCCAGACCCCGTTGCTTTCGGCCAGTCCTCTCCCCTCTCTCTCTCTCTCTCTCTCTCTCTCTCTCTCTCTCTCTCCCTTCGCTTTCGTGCGGGCCCCGGGTCCATGTTCAAGGAAAAGCCAGACCGACGATAACCGTAAGTTCGTTGTATATTTTTAGGCCGGGCCTTTCTCCGTGCTAACTCAGTCGACGTTGAAAACACGATAAAACGAATCGACTATCGAAGAGAAAAGAAGAGAAAGAGACTTTGTCTGGTCTTTAAAGAGGCGGTCTATTCTACGATAAGCACCTTTAAGCATCTTTAAGCAAATATGACACACGTATGATTGCAAAACGAGGATAAACAATCTACAAATTTTTCTTTCTCTTTTATAGGTATCCCTTTGATATCGTATTAATTTTGACCGGGCAAAGTAGAAAAACTTCATACTTTTGTGCACTCGGACGTGCTCACAAGCCAGAATCGATTTCGCTCATCAGATCAGTTCCTCTCGACGCACGCTAAATATTCACGATTCAATAATCTCGTTATCGTGAAAAAAAGAAAAAACGGAAAACTTGACGCAAGTTGGAGAAACGATCGACGTTTTTCACGTTTCTCATAATATAATGTCCGTTATTTGTGTATACGATTTGCATATACGCCACGTATACGCCACACCCGGTCATGTGATCAATGGGACAAATCTGTTATCATTTAGCGTTAATCTTTTTCTAATCTGGCATACGATTAGTCAGCATACGATTTGAGCGCCACTGACTTTCGCAACATATTAATTGTATTTAAATTCGAAAATGTTAAATTCGTTTGCGCCACTTCTTTATCAAAGAAATATAAACTGGAATTAATTCTAATGATTCAAAAACGTAAATCCTTTAACAGTTATTTAAGTCATAATTCTTAATATATTTACAATGCAGTTTTAATTTGTAATATGGCGTATACGTGTACACAGAATAAATAGTTAGTCACGGCCGCAAGCATAGTTACAAACACAGGAAGCGACATGGTCCGACTTTTCGAGAAAATACCGTAAGAACGCTTGTCACTCTAGTAGTTTCATTTATTTTGCACAGGCTATACGATTAACAAAGCAAAGCACACACATAAATATATAAACAGATAACTCTAAATATTCCTCTCAAAGCGTGTTAGAAGAAAATATAAAATATATAAAAATTTTGCTTCTCGAGAAATGTTGGTATCGTGTGTGACCAGCAATAACAATATATTTTGACTTGATGTTAAGAGCAAACCTCTTCGCCATCCTCCCATCATATTCCTTCAACTCCTTTTCTTTTTCCCTCGTGATACCATTTTATTACTCGCGCACCGATATCCCTATTCGACTCCCTTTATCGCGGTCGTGAAAAATTTTGAGGTAGATATACATACACCAAAAGCGACCAGGCACGGTTGCCTCGATACGCGCGAAGCGATTTGTGCCGGGCTGTATACATGGTGTCTCACAATGATCGCTTCAAAAGTGTGTCGCGTTCCAGGAGAAAGATGGAGCAACCTTTATTTCTTGCAAAAATTTACGTGACACGATTTTACTCATTCGACCTTTTTAAGTCGAACAAAATTCGACCAATGAGAGACAATTGGAAATACGTGATATATCTTGTGATTATTTTGAGATACCCTGTATATCGTACGTGGGCCAGGCGAGAGAGCAGAGAGCGAGGTCCAGCCTCCTGGTGATGTAGTACACACGGTGTCTGCGCGAGCGGAGAGAAACCCGTTTACCTTTAAACTCCTCTCGCGGTGGCGGCGACGGCGGCTCTCTCTCTCTCTCTCTTTCCTTCTCTTCCTCTTAAAAGAGGCGGCAAAAGTAAAAACCGAGACAAAGCCGAAGGAGAATCGTCTAAGCGAACAAAACTTGCGCACGCGAACGCGCGCAAGTCGAATTATCGTTAGGCTTCGTGCAATGACGGTTGGCTGCGTCGAATTTTGCCATAAGCGGTTCGAAAAGCAACACAAGACGTTTACGTATGCGGACTGATTCGATACAAGCCACACCGCCGCATAAGCTAGCTTGATTCAGCCGCTTTGTTTTGTGTCCTGTGTGTACGGCAAGTGTTGTTAAAACGCAACTTAAAACGGGAAACGTTATCTCCACTTTTTGCGATATAACATCAAAGTATTCGGGCTGACGAGAAAGTCGCTGAGAAATTTTGGCAAATAAGGTGTCTGTGGAAAAGATATTAATATCAGTGGGAAATACCAAATTCCCATTCGGATGAGATATTATTTAAATAGTGCACTCTAATATGTATAAATTTGCTAAATATATCCCTTGCTCTGTTACATATATAAATACATTTTGTTCTATAGATACGAATATATTACGTTAGTGGAAAAGCAACAACGAGTCACCTTTTATAACTACTATTGCCAGAACGATAGCGATTTATGAATAATTTGTTTCTATTGAATGTAATCAAGTTTGACTAAAAAAAAACACTGAACCAAATTTTGTGACCACCTTAATAGATTGTATAATGCCTGTATCATACTAATGATTGGCGACTACATTCGCATGTGCGTATAAGATTCTCTTGACCAATCACAAAGGAGTTGGCTGTTGGATCGGTCAAAAGACAATTGCAAGAACGCAGACAGTTGTCAATCATTAGTATAATATGGACATTATACAATCTATTGAGCTAGTCACAAAATTTGGTTCGAGCCAAATTTGATTTGATTGTATTTGCCAATCGTTAGTGTGACACGGGACATAAGCATACAATAACGAGAGAGTAAAACATCTTTAAATTATTACCGGTATCACAGCTGGGTGCTTAGCATTTCTGCCTATTCTCTCTCTCTCTCTCTCTCTCTCTCTCTCTCTCTCTCTCTCTCTCTCTCTCTCTCTCTCTCTCTCTATCTATCTATCTATCTATCTATCCTCTATCTATACTGATTCTTTTTCAGCTCTAATGTTTAAATTATGTTTACTATGTGTACTTCGACAATCAGGCGCAAACTGTCTCGACACGAATACGAACGCCATATTGTGTATAACGTTCTATCTAGTCGGTTTAAGGTCAACACACTCCTCCGAAATATAACGCTGGATGTTTTTTATTTTTCCAACGTAACTGGCGTCAGTTCGATGTTGAATTCCGACTTTCGTTACTACTCGAGTCAGCCCTCGAGAACCACAAAGGTCGGTGGACCCCGGGACGGTAAACCGCAAGGCAGGGTCCGGCCTGGTTGTGGGCTTCCTTAAAGAGCATTTCTGCTTCGTCTGAATCCTCCAGGAATCACCAGGCCGAAAGAGCTTGAAGGAGCTCTCTATCGATCCAGACCGCTTCGTATCACGAAACTGGCTGGCACCTCGGAGAGCTCGGAAGGAAGGGAAACGGAGAAAGAGATGAGAAAAGGAAGAAAACCTAATTCATTTTTTCCCTTCACCCCTCTTCTTTGCTCACATTTCCGAGAGAGAGAGAGAGAGAGAGAGAGAGAGAGAGAGAGAGAGATCCAACTATTAATTTTCTCGTCAATGCGTTTGTTTTTTTCTATTTTGTTACAAACACAGCCCACAACATGTCTAAATTTTTGCATACACATGTTAGTTTGGATCCTTCAAGTCTCAAAATGTTTATGGCAAACATTACAGTATTTCAATCGTTTGTTCTTATTTCCTAAACGCAAAATTAATCTCATTTTAAATTTCAAGATTTGACAAACTTATGAAACTTTAAACGAACTATTCGTATATACGTTCTAAAATGATCTAGCAAGATATCTATTAAATCTATTTTTTTACGAATATAGAAATTTTCAAGCCTTTCTTGATCATTTAATGTATTATTATAATATAATTTGTGTAATATTATATACAGATTAGCATGGAAAATTTTCTAATAAATACGTTCACAGAATACCTCAAAGTTGCAGGAGATTCTATTGACTAGAAATTTATCAATCGATATATATATATTATAACTTCATGTTCGACGAAAATTAATAAAATTAAACTAATCTAATGTTAGATTATTAGAATTAATAATATTAAATATTATTAAAGACAAAGCAGAATTATATATTTTTAATATCGTAACAAAATTTTTGAAAAATATAACATCTTCCAAAAGGAAACTAGGCTATACTCTTCGATAAATTTGAATCGACCCCATTTCTAAGAAAATTATGATCTGGTTGCTAAGATTATTTAACATTAAAAATTAAACAATTTTGATCAATTAAGCTCCAAGAATACCAACTAGTAACTTAGTTATTCTTATATGTATGTCCATTCTGGATAAATAGAGTTTTATGTTTTGTTCCAACTCGCCAAGTGATTTTCCCACTGAAAATACTAATATACCTATAGCTGCAGAATAAAATCGCTAATGTTCAAAATTGTATAAAGTTTTTCTCGAAAAAATGTAAGTAAATTTTATTTTCTCAATTTGTTATCGATGTCATTTCAAAAAGTACAAGGTTGGTTATGTTTAGTTTTATTATAGTTATAAGACTTATTAAATTCTCCGCAAGAGAACATACACAGACACAGTATATATATGAACGTACATAATTATGTATACATTCAGAAAGTCGTACTTCTCGATGGTTAATTTTATTCGGACGCAAAACTTTTCATCAGGAAACGTCTTTTAAAAATTTATTTTATGAAAAAAAAATTTTTTTACTCAAACGCGATCGATACCTGAAACTTCTAAGGTTAACTATTTTTCCAGGATCTGATATCTTCCGTGTGATGAAATGCTTAATCTGATTTCAGAATGGTGCGTCTTTAATGAATATCTTAATCTACATACAATGCAATGTAATGGTTTAATCGTCATTGGTTAATATTTAACGCTGACAATTAAATGCCAATAATTACGAGATCCAGACAATTATGGAATTATTTTCGTTTCAATTTTCATCATGATAAACTGTTTTCAAAAGAAATTTAAGAATATGTCATTGTCGACGGATATTCATATTTTGGATTTGTTTTTTTAATGTTCCGTAAACATTCCTATTTATTTCTTCGGAAGAGTCTTTTAGTAGAGAAATTATTTCATTATTCTCAGATTTTTCTCTACCACACAAGTCTTTTGAAGAAATAAATTGAAATATTCACGAAACATTGAAGACAAATCTATGAAAGATGCGACATTAATCCGGAAGCTATATCAAGCATTGTTCTAGGATCTTTGTGACCGGTTCGCGCGAGAATAATGACGAGCAACTTAAAAGCTATTAATATCGTGAATTAGCAACAAATTCTTTATCCTTGTCACATCCTTGATTTGATGTAATTGGGTGATTGCATAGTCCTAGCAACTTACCGAGGATAAAAACTACTTTTTCCCGTCTCTTTGACGCACAATTAGAATGATTATCTTTGGGAAAGATGTACGATATCGGCTGAAAGAGACAGAGGGATAATTAGCTTTTTCGAGTTAGAATAAATCTCGAAAGACCAAGTTGAACCATCATGCCTATACGTAAACATACATGTATATTCCGTGTACACGTGTGTATGCTCAAGTGTCTTAACTTGTCTCGTGTTGCAGTAAATTATGTTTGATATTTTAAGTTTGAGGGAATGTGGTTATGCGACGAAAACGGAAAGTCGAGCAAAGTTAAGGGTATTCTTCTTATATTACTTTCAACAACAAAAGGGTAGCGAAAAAGTATGTGGAATTGAACGAAAGAACAGAAAAACGAAAAGTCCAATTATTCTCGTGAGACGTCTTTCCAGCTTGTCGGCAATTCGCGCGATGCATAAACCGTGTGCAGCTAGTGCGGTTGGTATTTAATCGCGTAGAAAAACGTCGCGATAATTCGGCCGCATTGACACAATGGTAACTATCCCGAAACGATCAAATGTCCAGTAGTCGTCATGCTTCAAAGTAGTGCAAAGAACTTTCAAATAACCCGAGATAGGATGTCTGACCATAATATTTCGTGTACATATAAAAAATTCCTGTACCATTTTGCGAACAATTACGTAAAAAATATTTAGTTATTAATTAAAGAAGATCGACGAATGTGTTTACGTATTACACTGTGAGTGGAGCACTGTAAAAACAGTGCCTGGATCGCAGTGCTCAACGTTCCGCGCGCAGCACTTCCCTCTATAGCTCATCGCCACTCACGTCTTTTAAGCTAGCAGGACCAAATCAGCAAAATTAAATCGGACCTATGCAATTATTTACTATCTATTTTGTACTAATTTGTACCATTAATGCAAATTTTGTACTTCCGCGCCGTTTTGAAAAAAAAACAAGGGCACTGCCAGGTCAAGATCAAGCTAGTAGGAACATAATAAAAAAAAAAGAAAAAACCGGAAATAATGTATGCAATCCAAAGTACTGAATTTGTACTAATTTGTACCATCAAAAGAAACCCAACATATTGATTCATTAACCGTATAAAACACAACTCCTAATTAAAATCAACCTTACTAAGCGCAAGAATAAAGTAATATTTTCAATCAGCAGAATCCAATCGCGACTAGTGCATTAAATAAGTCATGATTTGTACTGATAAAATACAAAGTGTGAGATCTTGTACCCTCGCCGTTTTCTTGGAATCCATCCCAATCCCAATTATGCGCAAGAATAAAGACGTATGTGAAGATGGCACCACATTTAAAAAAAAAAATCAATTTATTATCATAGTTCTGATCGCATCCCAATGAGTTCTAGATAACATTTAGAAATAGTTCCGGCGAAATGAAGTAAAAAAACCAATTTTGAAGTTTTCGGGTGCTAAGTTCACAAAATGAGATCAGAAAAATGACCGTAACTTTTTAACGGTTGCACCAAATGAATTTCATCATTAGAGTTTTTTATAGAACTCTTGTGGTGCTATCCAGAACTCCGGTCAGAATTATTCGCTGGAATTATTAAAAAAAATTTCACCTTTTCAGGACTTAGAAATTTTCACGAAACCGAATCTTCGAACGGCTAGAACTTCTCTCTCATCGGTTTTAGCTGAAAGATTCATAAAGATAACCGACAGAACTCTTCGGGGTGCTACCAGAACTCCGATCAGAACGCCGGAAATGTTAAAAAAATTTCACCGTTTCAGGACTTAGAAATTTTCACGAAACCGAATCTTCGAACGGCTAGAACTTCTCTCTCATCGGTTTTAGCTGAAAGATTCATAAAGATAACCGACAGAACTCTTCGGGGTGCTACCAGAACTCCGATCAGAACGCCGGAAATGTTAAAAAAATTTCACCGTTTCAGGACTTAGAAATTTTCACGAAACCGAATCTTCGAACGGCTAGAACTTCTCTCTCATCGGTTTTAGCTGAAAGATTCATAAAGATAACCGACAGAACTCTTCGGGGTGCTACCAGAACTCCGATCAGAACGCCGGAAATGTTAAAAAAATTTCACCCCCTCAGAAATTAGAAATTTTCACGAAACCGAATCTTCGAACGGCTAGAATTTCTCTCTCATTGGTTTTAGCTCGGAGATTCATAAAGGTAATCGATAGAACTCATCGGGGTGCTACTAGAACTCTAGTCGGAACGCTGGAATTATTAAAAAAAAATGTTACCACCAGGTGCTTAGAAAAAAAATGATCTAATTTTTTTAAATTTTGACAACAAAATTTTTTTCAGTATGTTATTTGTGTTTTAGTGCTAGTTCTAATAGTCCTCTTTCTCTCCAAATTATTCTATCAATTGTCCTCCTAATTCTAAACGTTACAGTTGACAGAAATAATTTATAGCGTTTTGAATTTTTGGAATGGTAAAGTTAGCCCTGCCTTATAATGCCTTATAGCCATGACCTTATAATGGTATGCTCGCTCCTGTGACCAACGTAACTTTATGAAAAAGAAAATGAAAATGTTAGAACTCTTGAGTGGACT